TGTTTTTCCATGCCAGATTTTATCTTTCAGAATAATAATTAGTAGCAATTTTAACATTTTCTCAACTAAGAAGATTTATCATTTAATGGATAAAATTTCCATAAACTTCAGTGAATACATTCCTTTAGCTTATTACATTCTGTATTATTTGGCTAATGTTATTACACAATAATAGCATTCACTTTCTTATAATCAAAATTTAAAAAGGAGCTCTAAGTATAAAGGGAGAGGGAAGAGGCAGAGAAGATAAATTATGCAACTGAAAGGAGTGGTTGTTTTTCTTTCTCTCTTAAGTGCAAATTCTTCTGCACTGTGTTTCCCAGACACCATCTGTTTCCAAAACAACTTATCATCAAACATAACAGAGGAGATAGGAACTTCTAATAGGAGTTAAACCTGCCAACTTGCAGAATGGTCAGTCTGAGCTCTCTCAGACAGGAAAAAATATGATAGTACAGAGTTGTTACTAAATTAAGGAGAGGCAATGGATGTCACCTCAGATGATTCAGTACATCATTTTAGGGATTTTCACCAGAACATTACAATGTTTCTGCACACTCGCTTTCAGAAATCCAAACTACATTAGGCCATTTAATAGCAAGATTCACTTCACTTAGGATAGGGTTTTTGTTTGTTTGTTTGCTTTTTTTTTTTTTAATTATTTTTTAAACTCTACTACTACAGCCTGAATAATGGGTCACACCTGCTGAGGGCTTCACTCCATTTGCAGTTAGTTATCAGCAAAAGTTTGGAAACTTAGAAACTGGCAGAATTATTTACATCAAGGAGCCACCTGAAATGTAAACAGTTTGCTATTACTTCCAGAAGTTTTGATTGAAAGAGCAAGGTACCATTTTTAACCTGGTTACACTGTTGAGTTCAATGATAGCATAGTGCTTATTAGAAAATTAGTTCATCTTTTTGCTTTTCCCTCTCTTCATAGTATATGGGAGAAGACAAAAAATATATACTTAGTTTAGTATAATAAGTAACAGTGGGAAAATAAGTTACCAGAAAAGCATCTAAACTTTTTTTTGTGAGTTTCACATCTATTTTTTAAAAAGTTCTATGATATAAGATTATAGATTGGACAGGAACCATCAAGGTCGTTGTTTATAGACTTTGATCATATCCACCCATGACAATTTCATACAGAAAATATTAGCTGCAATCAACATATTAAGAAACATCACTCTCTGTGTGACTCTGTATTATCTATTGTCATCACATCCCTAAAAGATTACATCTCTTTCAAACACAAAACACTTAGTATGTCTGAGGTGTGAAGTCTTTTCTGCCCTTTCCCAGCCCTCCCTGACCACCTTCTTCATTCAAAATAACTGTCTCCTTTCCGTAGCCCAAATAATTTATTTCACACATGGAACATTCTTTACTTCTAAGTACCTTTCCAGATAATTTTATAGCTATCCATAGACTAAGAAGTGCTCCTGTTGTTCCTTTGGCAGCTCTATTAGATTAAATCCATTAGCACACTCACATATACACAAATTACATTTTAAGCTCTTGATGTTCCTAACATGTGACTCCATTAAGATGTTATTCTTTCTTGTTGCCCAAAAAAATTCTAAAAATTTGGATATCTTTGTTTTCAAATCATCTGTTTTACCTACTACATCAATTCATTGCAGGTTCTATATTCCTGACTCTGCTCCCTCAGCACATTTAATTATATTATAGGCAACCATCTCCGCTCCTGTTCAATATTCCAAACAGCTTCACTGAGTTTTAAATGCACAAAATGGTTGTTGCCACACACTTCATTTCTGGCTTCTGCAGTTGCGATCTTGTGCATTGTTACTAAAAATAGAGCTGCTTCCAACTACCTGAGCTGGAAAGCTAATTACAGAGCTGGTAAACACTGCTCCTCCCTATTGAGCAAATAGCAGAATAAGGAGTCTGCTAATGCACTACAGTGCACATGGTCCTGTGAGTCTTTGAAATCTATCAAGTGTCATTTATTTAATCATTTGTGGCTGTTTGCTTCATGGATAAATTAGTATTTAAGTAAATAACTGTTTCACTGTTGGATCAACAAATCAGGGAGAAAAAGAACAATCAGCCCATTCAGGAAAAAGCATTCTAGACTAAATCTCAGCTAGCATAAATCAGAATAATTCACTGCAGTAAATAGCATATTGTTGATTTAGACCAGGTAAAAGCCTAATTCTCTAATTCCCTGCAGAAGAGGGATTATTGGAGGAACAACTGTTTGCGGCCACTTAAAGACTTTTTTGAAAGTTATTTCTGTCACATACAAGTAAGCAAAAACAGCTGCCACTGTAAGAAAGCACTTTCTTAAAAGCAAACTGAGCCATGTCTGCAGTACAGCAGCACGTTGCCTGGAAAACATTCCCTGCTGAAAGATCTTAAGGTAGAACTGCCCACAGAGTTTAGATGTTCCTCTGTATTTGTCAATGAAACATTGGTTTCCCTGCTTCATGGGACCAATTCTTGCCATATAGCCCACGCAAGCTTTGTTGACAACAAGGTTTCAGTCATCACTTGCTCAATAAAACTCAACTCAGTTTCAGCCATCAGAGAGGCAACTATATATAGATAATACATAAAAAACTGTTAGAATCAACTGTGATACAGCTTCAGCCCCAAAGCAAAACTGTAAAATACCTGTTATGTTCACCCAAAACACCTTCTGGGGCTAAGAGGAAATACAGCCTTCTGGAATTGTAATTTTTATTTGAATGTAGAATGTGGGAACAAAAGATTGAGGTAGAAAACCACCAGAATGACCAATTTTTAAAAGCATTTCTATTTCTCCTTCCTAACTCTCCGAAAAAAAATAAAGACACAAGTAAATAAAACTTCTAAAGCTCTACCCAAGTCATTAGAAAAGTTTGGCAGAAGAGTATGCTAGTGAGCATAAACTATTTGCACATCACCATGTTTCTGTTATGTAACAAGTATATATCCATACAGTGCATACAGGGACACAATTTCTATCTGAGGTTAAATACATTATTTACACAGCTCATTTGGGAGAGGAGAAGATGAACTCCCTCTTCTGCCTCCCATTTCTTGAAAAAGAAAATCAGGCTGTCCTCAGCCAAGAAAGCTACATCCTGTTGTCACAGAAAAGTGACTTGCCAGTTTTTAGCAAAAATGACTGGCAAAAAGAAGATGGAAAATTGTGGAGAGAGAAGCAAATGTGTCGTATAATCAATAATAAAAACCAAGGAGACAAAAAAAAAAAAAAAAAGACACGGGCATGAGGAGGTCAGACTACAGAAAATTAATAGCATTTCAAGCTCTGCATATTTCAAAGACTGGACAGAGAGAAACTTCTAGCAATAACAGCAATGGGGAAAAAGAAACAATACCAGCCTTCTCATCTTAAACAGAAGAACAGAGAGAATATCAGTCTGCACCTCACAAGGCAGTCACACACCAACACACCCAGGCAAGTCTGAAGAAGCCAACTCACACACCAGGACTTGTGTAGTGGTCATTTTGGTGCAGTGCTTCACCAGAATTGACACCTCTTGTTTTCCCAGTATCCTGTGTATACATATTAGAGCATCTCCAGAGAAAGTCATATGCATTTTTCACATTTAAAATCTAAACAAGTGTGTGTGTGTGCACAGCTTTACATATACACGCACGTGTATGTGTATGGGGTAGGGGGCTGGACAGTGATGAAGGAATTATGTGTGTATGTGGTGGAATACAGTGCACAAGCAACATTAAAAGTCAATTGAATCCTGACTTTTCATTACTGATCAATTTTCCTGTGTTTCCACAGTTACTTCTGTCCTAAATGATGACAAATACAGTAAACAACATAACTGCAAGTTAGATAAAATCTGCTTATTATAGCAGGGCAAATACCTGGTATATTCCAGAAAACAATCCACCAAAAAGCATATGCAGACAACATAAGCACTATTTTCCCTGCAACTTACAATTTCTCCCAACATTAGTTCTCACCTTAAGGCAAAGATGTGATAACCTTAACCCTTGGAGCCATTTCTAATTTACTTGTTTAGACTTCAAACACACAACACTGACAGCCACTTTCCCCATGTGCCTCACAGACCAACTTACACATTTAAATTACTCACAAGTATTTTTAGGTGGTCTGCTTCTGTTGAGTGAAACTTGGCAAATTCATTGGGCAAGCAAGGTGTGCCTCCACCTTTCTGTTAAGCTAAGGTAAAGTTTCCAATTCCCTTACCAAAAAATTACAAGAAAGGAAGAAAGGAAGGTAAAAATGTAGAATGTGAGGGAACCGTTGAAAATAAATTGCTTAATTCTTTTACATATAAATTGTCCCTACTAGATATGTCCTGGGCAATCATGGAAAAAGGCACTTTGAAACTCATACTCCTTAATGAAGTGACTTCATGAATCTTACATTATTCACACCAAAAAGTTACATATTTCACCACAGAGATATCACTCAAACTTCAGCTTTCCTAATGAATACATGAGCATGTGCAAAGACTCCAGAGCCAGAATGAGATTAATGGAATAAATTTAGGGACATATTAAACAAGAGGGAAGGTAAATAACTAAGTATCAACACTTTCATTCATCCAATAATTGTCTGAATCAGAGGCACTGATCAAAGGAGCACATGTTAATGTACAATACTGAAATATATGAAATATAACTTTATCCCATGATGGACCAAAAGTACAGTAGTCTGCTGTATGTAGCAGAACCAATTTCAAAAGAGTTCATAACCATAATTAATCTACTTATGCCTCAAAAACCTAGCAACCAGATAACAACCTATAACAGACTCCCTTAATTTGAAAAAAAAATAATGATTTGAGGTATTTTCTGACTACTAACCAAGTTTCATGTAACACCGGTATTTAAGTTTAAAAGGCCTCAGATGATGAAATATTCAATTTTTTTCTCAACAATTCAATATCTAAAGATCAGCTACAGAGTGGTCTCCACAGTACAGGTAACCTGCAGGAAAGAACACAGGGTAAATACAAACTCCATCGCCTTACCTCAGCTATGTGTGGCATTGGGTTAAATCCACAGAGGTTGCACACAACCTTCTTGCACTCCGTACATGTATTAAAGTTGGGGGGATCCTTAGAACCAATATTCAGTCCAGTTTTACAAAGGGGACAAGACACTTCGGGCTGGCTGGCTTTCTCTGGTTCCGACAGCCCAGCAGGTTTCTTAGCTTCAGCAGCCTGAGGCTTGCTGTCTTTAGCCAAACCAGGTTTCTTTTCTAAATCAGATCCTTTAGGTGTTGAAACACTATCCACTTTTGACGGCTCTGACTTCTCTGTCGTAAGAGGCTTGGCTTCTTTCTTTACAGGAACAGCTTTTGGATGAGGCTGAGCCTGGCCGGTCTCTTTAGGGGCTGCCTGAGATGCTGGAGGCTGTGATGGAGGCTGGGGCTGCTTTGCTGCAGAACCAGGCGGAGGGGGGGCTGATGTCTGAGACCCTGGCTGACCCGTTGTGGAAATTAAGTTCGAGGCCTGGCTGAAGATTGAGGCTCCAAATCCAAAAAGTTTCCCAGTAACTGTTTCTTGTGGTGTTGTAGGCTGAGGCTTAGGGGCATCAGTGATGCCTCCCAGATTAAGGCTGAAACGCCTTGACTGCTCAGGAGTTTTCTGAGGTGCCTGGGGTTGAGGCGCCAGCTGTGCTGGTGCTGGCTTGGGACCTGCACCTGCTTGTGAGACCTTTGGAGCTGGTTTGGTATCAGGCTTTGGAGCCACTTTTGTTGGTAACTTCTTAGGACCATCTTTTGTTTGTGTTGGCTCAACAGGCTTTTGACTTTTAGCTTCTGGTTTAGCCCCAGGCTGAGATGCAAGCTTGGGATCTGATTTCTGTCGAGACACTTGTGGAAGGGGTTTGGAGTCTGGTTTCTCTCCAGTCGGATGTGTGTCCTGTGATGGCTTGGCAAGCTCTGGCTTTGGGGAATCTGTCCCTTTCTGCTGAGTTGGTGGTGGTCTGGGACCTGCAGACTCCTGTTTCGGCCCTGGTGCTGCAGAGGTAGGCACAGTGTCTGCCTTGGGCTTCTCTATACTGGGTTGGCTTTTCTGATCTTCAGTCTGTGTTGGCTTGGCCTGATCAGACTTTGGAGTAGGATCTATTTGCTGAGAGATCTCAGTAGGCTTATCATTGGGTTGCTTCGATTTTACAGGGGGAGACTCTGGCAAGGATGGTTCCTTTTTCTGTGGCAGGGTTTTTTTTGGTTCTGCTAACTGCGAAGGATCAGGTCTTGGAGACGCATCTTTCTTTTGAACTGGCTGTGGCTGTGGAGATGGTTTAACTGTTGAAGGTGGAATGGGTGTCTTCTGCTTGGGCAGAGGTTGCTGTGGCCCAGGACCATGACCTGGTGCTAGGTCACCACCTAAGGCTCTTTGCATCTGGCAGTTTAAACAAAGCCATTCTTTAATCTGCAAAAAAAGAATAATTTAAAAGTTGTTATAATTAAGATAAGGCCAGGTTAATAAAAGCAGCATGATAATAGGCTATTTTCATGTATGGTCTGTGGCAATATTCTAGATTTCTGTGTAAAAAGGCAAAAATATTACCACTAGCATTGCTTTGTGGTCCATATGCCCAACTGATTTTTTCAGTCATCTCCATATTCCTGTGATTCGAGCTATCACTGAGCCCAGGCTTCTAATGACTTCACATTCAGTTTACACACAGCTGAATACTGGAGGATAAAAACCCAGCAGAATGAAAAAATGCATTGGAATTTCATGGGACCCAGCAGTGATTCATTTATAGCAATGATTTGCCAGAATAGAGAGAAAACGACAAATACTGCTAAAATAGTTTGACACATCAAGTCTGCTGACAGAAAACAATAATCAGAATTAAAACACAGTAAATGCATAACTGCCTTGAAGCATACATCTATCAAGCTCCTTATATAGTGTATGATTTTGGTGATGGTTTAAATTACAGGGCACAAGTATTGGCAGTATACATCTATCCAATGAATTAGGCACAGAGGTGTGTTAACGGACACCACATATTACACACTCACACTTCACCAGCAATTTGAGGGCAAGTCTTCATTTGGAATCAGTGAGGAGCTTTGCCTAAGCCCTGATGGTATTTCAAAAGCCATAATTCTGTTTCCCAAAATTCCTTTGTTATTAAAAGATGCTCCCATGGTAATTAACATATGCCTATATACAATGGGCCCTTCTCTTCAACACAGAGAAGAAGTAAGGGAAATAATATATTTACCCATTTTGCATCAATATTAGTACCTCACAACTTTAAAACATTTTTTCTCCTTCCCAAGAAGTATTACATGAGAGGGAAACTGTATTTTCTAAGATGATGGAAAACTCCAGTAATCCTAAGCAGTCATCCCAACTTTTGCTTTTGTAAAGTCTCACCACCTGTGGAAGTATTGTGAAGTACCTGAAGTAACATGGTCAGGGAGCTGGAAGAAACATTTTAGGCAGCAAAAACGCCGTTCAATATGGCACAGAGGCCTTGGGTCTACACCTGCAAGTAGACACATAAGCAAAGCATCTGTGGCTCTGCTTCTGCCCTTCAGCCCGTGTGTGAAACACAGGGAAGCAACCAGGTACAGCATTTGCAGGCACCACTGTGACAGGGGGGAACTGCAGTCAGGAGGACACAGAAGGCAAGACTCAGGTCTCCTCCCCTAAGGGTGAAGATTTCTGCATCCTGCTTCTCACTCTGGTCTGGAATCTCTACCATACACCACGGGATGAATCTGGAGGTACTACATGCAAAGAAAGATTTTGTCTGTGTAATATCAGAGCTCACTGGTAGGCAAGAATTCTGATGTCATGGACTGAGGCAATGAATCCATTACTTCGGTGTGCTTTGCCAGCCTTGTATTTTTCCAGCAGCAAAAATGAAAAGAACAGTGGGAAGCAGTTCCCTAAAACACAGTTATTCCAATTATTCTGATCAACGTGGTGCATACCCACTCTGGAACAGGAGCTGGCTGTTACTAACAGCTTCACACAGAGACGCCCAATTTTGGCCCCAGCTGCAAGTTCCCAGTAATCAAGTTCCCATTCATAATAGTGCTGCTTTTATCTTCCACTTTCAGTGCCATTTTTTTGGATTGTTTAAACAATTCTCCAATCTACTTGCAACCCACATAGCAAATGACTGTTAAAAAGTGAAATCAACTGAAACAAAACTGGAACATGTGTTTAAGCCCTGCTTAGAATTATTAAAGGAATTAAGTTCACAAATGCACAGAGGATCTGAGCAAAGATTACATTTAGCTCAACTCCCATTTTGCTTCATTGGTGATCAGTTCTTCTACAAGTCCCCTGTCCAAGGGATGACAACTTGAAACAAGTATAACTTAATTATGACACCTGATTTCAGATATTAGCAATCTCATTTAATGAGATATGTATTAATACTACTCCCAGCTGAATTCCTATGGGTTTTCTAGAAGTTTAAGTTTAATCAAAGACCAGGTTTAAGCCACGTACTCTGAACATCCACCTCAGTGGTCACAGCTATCTGCCTTTGGTAAAATGACTAAGTTTTTTTTATATTAAGGAGGTGGGCCATCCTCCACAGTGGAGAAGGGAAGGATCCTGTGAGGAGCTTTTTAATGGGCCTAAATGAGCAATGTCTTTTCCCACTAACCACAGAACTAGATATTTTTCTCAGTGATGCACTGCTCCTGCTTCTTTCTGACACTTCCATTTATCTCTTTCACTTAAAAACAAACACAAAACAAAACCACCAAACACAAAAAAGTGCTGTACTCTGAAGTAAGATGACCAGATGAAACCATGGCAGTAACAGGTCCCTGCCTGCTCTTACTCAGCTTCCAGGACATGTAATTTTAAATCACTATGACACCTGTAAGGCCCCAAACAAAGTAACTTTAGGGTTGATCAGGGCTACATCTAAACAGCTCTTACTGTGTACAGATTCCAACTGCTTTTATAAGCATTTAGGCTTATCTTCTTCATGCAGCCAGCCCAGTGTGACTACCTAACTGGCACCCAACCAAATGCTAATTCTGTACCAGTTTTCAACAATGTTGTGCAGAAGAAAAACCTGTAACTCTCAACTGTTATTTTCCCCTTACCTTAAAAAAAAAAGCTTACAAAAGATTTTATACATCTATATACACACATGCACCCTCAGTATTAAATTGAAGCATTTAAAATTGAGTTTGCTACTCCTACAGCTGAACTTCAAAATGTAAAATGTAGGGGAAGTTTTACTTCACTGTATTATTTTTTAAATCTTTCTGGTTTAGACATAAAATTCCTCCCATGCATTTCAGTAGGAGGAATTTTGTGCCAAAACCCTCAAGTCATTACGGCTTACACTCATCACCTTCAAACAAATACAAAACTTCACAAACTGTAGTTCTGTGATTGGAACTGCAGGAATTCAAAGATGCAGTCTTGCATCAAACACTGGCCTGTTTGTTCTACTGCTGTTAGAGATTTTCAATAAACTTTAATAGCAGCAAGGTTCTGTTAAGTATAGATGCTTTTACACATTATTACAGGTGAAGTAAAATTCACTGCTGCTGTAGATACCTAAAATACTAATGTTTGTCTATCGTTAAAGGTCTTCCTGGACAGCAGTTTTGTGACTTTCCCATTCCTTTCTTCACATGTCTCAAATCTCTGCCTAGAATTAAAGGGCAAACGTTTCCAAGGCAAAACATGAGTTTTTGCAGTTCCTATCTTCTTGTAAAGGAGATTCTTCATTGATGCTGAGGATCCCAAGCTGTCTATTTTTACACTGGTAGGTAGGGGTGGTGGCTGGGTCTGGTTTCTAGAAAAGATCCATAAGTGATCTTCTTCAATCTGAGACTCATGTTGTTGAGTGCCATGACTAGGACTGTAAATTTGGCAGATTTCACGCAGCATTTTTGTTCACATTTCAATTGCTGAACACTACCTCGCTTTCTAACTCACCAGTGTAGAAACCATATGCCTTTATAATAACAAACAAATAATTAAAATATATTTTATGTATTCATCAACCATAAGAGCTTAAAAAAGCTTCATAAAGACTACAGTAGTTGGGAGCACCAAATTGATTTATTCTGTGTTTTAGTAACAACAGCCATGGTGAATTACATAAAAGAAAATTATAGCACCATGTTCCATAGCTAACCTTCCTTTAAAGATTCATAATCTAACAGTTGACTCCAGTAACAAATACTGACTACATTTCAGTTCAACTTATCCCAGACAAATCTAATACAACTGAAGACAATCCAGAGCCTATTGCTTTGTGAGAAAGTGTTCTATATCTATAGATTCGTTCTACACTCCACAAACCCATCAAAAGCTATAGGAAAACTGTCGGAGAGGGAGTGCATTGACTGGCATGCTCCATTTCCCATCCTGCAGGTTAGGGAGGGAAGGAAGAGAATCCAGCCTGATTCTAAGATTCCAGATGTACCTGAGAAAGAAATTTTGACTTGCAGATTGAATGTATTTTATATTAAAAAAAAAAAAAAATAATACTGGCAGACAAAATGAATGTCACTCTTGGAAGCCATTTTAACAGTCCTTTTGCAGAACAGAGTGGCATTCCAAGGCACTAGGCCTCATTTTCATATAGACCAGTCATTTGGTGCTATAAAAAGGAACTTTAAGATATGCATAAAATATTAACATTGCTTTATATTACCAGAAAAATGTAAAGATTTATAGAGCCATTATATTGCCACATATGTAAAAGGACTTTGCTGACATTGCTCAGAATTTCCCCAAAGCTTTATCGCCAAAATCAGTTTCTGGTCTGAAAACACGTCAGCTTATTTGGTTCCTGAGGATTTCAGAGAGGAGCAAGGAATCTAGATTTGGCTCTTAGCAGACATTTCTGCAAAAAAAAATGAGAGAAACATGAAAAATACAGCACTTGAGCCCATGATTTTATGCGATTTCATGTAGTGTGGTAGAATATTGTAAGAGACAAGAAACTAGATCAGAAAATTCTGTTATGAACAAAAAAGAAAACTATCATGGAAAAAACTGAATTAGTATGTTGATACAAATGCAAAGGTCTTCTAAACAAGCCTGGGAAATACAGAAACAAAGTTTTCCTTCTACACCATCCTTCCATGAATAAGATTTCAGCTATTCAAAGTAATTACACTGAAACAAACATTCAACTATTGTACACTATGCAACCGATCCTCATTTGAGTCAAATAGATCATCACTACAAAATAAATATTTACCTTCCATTCAGATAACAGATGTAAAAGGCAACTGGGGAGTTTATCACGGAATACCAACTCAGGCTGCTCACAAAAGTAATGCTAGGTTCTAGTCAGCAGCATGGTCCCCAGGTACCCAATTGCACAAACCACAGCCATGGTTATAAGCACTGTAGCCTGGTACTAAACCAATGTTTGAGTAAACTTTTTTTTTAAAGAGACACTTTAAAAGATC